CTGCACAGGAGCCAGCAGTGGGTCCTGGCAGCAAGGCAGGTCAGCAGTGTCCTGGGCTGTCTGAACAGCAGCGTGGCCAGGAGATTGAGGGAAGTCATTTCCCCTCACTACTCACCACTCGATGAATTACATACCTAGGTAGCATCCAGTGTTGGTCTCTCACCCCACCCCCAAATTCAGGACAGACAATGATAAACTGCAGCAAGTCTAGAGAAGGGCAACCAAGATGGTCAGTGTCTGGAGCACTTGCCTTGTGAAGACAGGCTGAGGGAATGGGACTTGCTCAGTCAGGACGAGGGAACATAACAGCAGGCCCTTACAGTGCTTCCCAAGAGGTGGCCAAGAACATGGAGCTAGGCTCCTCACATTGCTGCGTAGTGCAAGCATGAGAGAAAACAGGCATGAGCTAAAACAAAGGAGGTTGAGATTGGTTACAAGGGAAAAATGTTCTTCCCCCAAGTGGGTGGTCAGGCATTGTACCAGGAGCCTAGTGACACTCTGCTGAGTCCTGCCTTGGAGTCAGTCAAAACCTGACTGTTAAAAAAAATAAAAGGTAAAATAAACCCTAAATAAAATAATAACAAAATCTTGATAACGAGGAGGAGTGGCACCATTGAGAACCTGGAATTTTTTTGGTTCTTCATGGGGCAGGTCATGATATTGTTATTAAAACTGCAGAACTGAGTCTACAAGCTTATTTTCATTACAAAGAGAGCAATAAGATAAGTCATTACTTAATAGAGAAATTAAAGAAATGGGATTTTTTATTTCGCTCCATGTTGTACAGAATTTTGGTAAAATACACTGCCTGTTAGAAAAGATGAGTCACTGTCTGAAATAACAATTGTCAAATGAGTGAGTGCTGAAAGAGTTTGAACTATGTAAAGCATGTTACAAGAAACAGCTATTTTGTCCACTCCTTTTCACTGGATTTCTTCTTTGCACTTTGTCTCAGATCCCATTAATTTGGAAATCTGGAAATCAGTTTGGGATAAGGACACTAGAATATCCTATCTTTGTCACTTTTATCTATGAAATGAATGAGTCTTACCTTTGACTAATAGACTAACATGTGAATCCAGTATTATTGATAGCATGAGAACTCAAATATTTGCTTATTAGTAATGAATAAATTTAGAGAATAAACCATTGGAAAAGAAGTAATTAGAAACTTCAAGAAAGCAGAGTTAAGATTTTCTTTTTTCTTCTTTTTTCTTCTTTTTTCTTCTTTTTTCTTCTTTTTCTTCTCTAAACAGCACATCTGAAAGAATGTTATTTGGCACCTCTTTTTTCCTGAAGGCCTTTAAAGGAGATCCCATGATATTTGCAAGAAAAGGAGTCCAATAATTGAGTCACCCATAAGAGAATGAAAATTATAATTAAAATTTATATAGCATATTTAGTAAAAAAGAAGCTTCACAAGTAATTGACAAGCACTGCTGAAGTGTACAGTATCAACCAGAAATGTTCTGAGAAAAGACAGACCAAGTGTACTGTAAGTCCTTGCTCTTGGAGAGTTCCAAATGGCATTATTGGGCTTTTCAAAGTGAAGACGGGATTCTGTTTTGTAAGGTTATTCTTTGCACACTCTTTCTGCTTTAAATTAGAACAGCAAGGAGTTGAGGCACTTGGCTTTTGCTTGTCAAAATAATCAGGAATGATAGGTGAATCGGGACTGAGCCCAAATCAAAACAAAAGCATGTTCGTATTTGGAAACAAAATGTAAAATCTTGTCTCCTGCTCTTCTTCCTCCCATTCCCCCAACTTTTTCTTTTTCCTTCCATACTTTTGTTTTTGTTGTACTTACCGGTCTGGGAACTATTACAATAGGACTAGAAAAGCTCTGCTTTGCCCCCAGATGTGCTGTGATACTATCTGGTTGGAATCTCCACTTTTGAGATCTAACCCGCAGAGAATCAGTTGAAGTTGAGGTAATAGAGTAAAATTTTGAGTACTTGACTTTGTTACTTAAATTTTAATTTGGTGCTGAAAAGGAGGAGTCACTAAAGGATCAGAGGTTTTGTCTTTTCCTGTTTGATCAGTTTGAGACTTTTCATTACTGCATTAAGCTCAGTATTGTTGCCTTTTTTATGTTAAAGGTGTAACACAAAACTGTCATTAACTGAATCTTCTTTGTTTAATATTTTCCTTCTGAAGAGTCGAAGGACGGGTAATGTACTTCCAGGTTTGTGTGGATGAGAGAAACCTGAGGAATGTGCTGGGTTTGGTAACTTTGTGAATGGAAATCAGATCCTCTCTCTGTTTCAATGGAGATTGTGAAGCAGGTCTCCAACAAGAGGAGAAATTGCATACTTGAACAGCATTATGGAAGCATCCAGCAATGCAGGATAGTGTTTGAAGTTCCAGGAACCAAGAACTCCCTTACGTTCCCATGTTTAGTTTTGCACTGTGGTAGTCGACATCCATTGAAATGGCAAGAGAATTTAGGAAAAAGGAAAGCAGAAGCTGATTTTTTTTTTAATTATTTTTTTATTTTTCATATATCAGAGGTTTCCTAGGAAAGGTTAGTCCTGCAAGAAAAGAAGTGGACAAAATCAGTGATTAGTTATTTATCATCTTGGGATGGTGCAGATGAGGGGAGCATATTAGAAAATTATAAAATAATATTATGTAACTGATTTTTGTACTCTTGGCATGTATTTAATGGAAAGTTACACTTACATCTGCTTATACCAAAATTGTCCCTGATGAAGCATATCCTCAATAAGACAGAACAAAATGGGATGGGATTGACATGGGATTTTGAACTCTGGGCTGAGAAGAGCTGTGTTCTAAAGGGATCAGAGGGAAAGGGATCTGCATGGTCTGCCAGGATCTCAAGGGGAAAGTTAATTATCTATCTGGAGCACCTAAGCAGAGAAGCATGTTGGATAATGCACCAAGGAGGAAGAAGTAAGTGCAGCAGAGAAGCAAGTAGTTGTGAAAGCAGGGATGGGATTATATTTATCTATGAGAGATGTTGTGAGGTAGGCAAATAATTATTATGTTTTTTTCACTGAGATTTTTCTGAGTAGAAGCTGGCCTTTGTGCCTTTTTTTGGAAGGTGTTGTGTAATCTTTTGAAGGAAAGTGAATTTGCCTTAAGACAAATAGGAGAGTCCAGTTTACACTAATACAAAGACAGCTCTGTGTGACCACGGAGCAATTTTTCCCATTAGTCCTCCCAAGAGACAGTTACATCAATGATTGATCTCCTATTTTTTAATTTTGAAGGTGAAAAATAGAATATGGTTTCTGGACCATTTCTGAAAACAGTACTTTAACTTAAAAGCCAATAAGAATGGCATGTTTGCTCTCTTTATGCCCCTTTCTGCTATTTGACAGTCTTTTGTAAGACCCCTGTCTAACTGTACAGCCTTTCAAACATCTTTTCATCTCGTTCAAATTGTATCTATCTCATTTACCTGTTCAGAGTGTTCATATTCAAGGTCTGAATCCTCCCAAACATCCTTCAGGTGATAGTGTTCAGGGATTTTTTGGGGTCTGCCTCAAATATTAACTTTCAAATTGCTCTTCCCAGATTTGAGTTAATGAATAATACAAACGTTTCCTTATGTCCAAATTCAGATAGTATGATGAGTCTGGAACACATTGCCATAGTCCAGCTGTTTTTGTTATAGCTGTGTGCTGCCCATATTGATTAGAAGAGGTTGAAATTCCTCAGGTTTGTCTCTAAGACAATGACCAGTGGTTTCTGTTGTGAAGTTCTTCCTGAATTACAGCAAACACAGGGTCTTTTTAAATATGCGATTAATCTGATCTTTAAGAAATGCTCGTGTATGCTTCAAGATATTACCTTTTAATTTTAAACTACTTGTTTCTAACCCAGGTACAAGTGATTTTACCTGCTTATAAACACTATGGAAGCAGAACAACATCGGGTCCAGTCAAGTGGGGAGTGGGAGCAGACAAAGCATACTGAAGAACTCCACATATTGTAAGCAAGAGTTATGGTTAGGTTTGGTTGTTGATGATTCTTTTGGGTTTGGTTTTGGTTAGATTTTCTTTTTTTCTTTTCCCCTTGGGGTCTGTTTTGGGTTTTCTTTGTTGTGTTATCCCTTGTATGGTTTTGGGGTTTTTATTTTTAGGGGGAGAGAGAGAGAGATGTCACTACTTAGTTGAATAGATTTAATCTCTTTGGAAACTTTTCCAGATACTGAGACTAAATTCCTCCTTACTGCTTCTTTTTCTTCTGCTTTACCCTTTCCTTCCCATTTTCTCACTTGTGAGTGGGACCAAATGCTATGCTTACTTGGCTCATTGTAAACATGGAGTACAACAGCTTTTAATGGAAAAATGGAACTTCTTTTCTACCTAAAGTTATGTAACTGGTGAGAAGATCACCCTGGAATGAGAAGTGTTGCTTTATTACGTTCAACCCATTAACTCACCAGACACTTATGAAAGGGAAAATTATAAAGTATTTTTAAATTGCAAACACTTGCTACAAGTGAAAAAATGACATTTAAATTTTTCAAGTCCAGTTCTTTTGCTGAATAAATATTTACAATGCCTGTTTATAATGTCATGTCAAATTAAACTAGTATTTATTTTGCCTGGATGAAAGCCACAAGTAGCCTGAATTAACCTTAAGAAAAATGTTGAGATTGCAAAAATACTGAGGTCAATAAAGCAAACAGTTCTCTGAGGACTGCAAGTGCTGTTTTTGCAGTTTAAGTCCAGCTCTCTTGGATAAAACAGTGAAAATGTCTCTCAGATCAGTTTTCCATTAATAGAAAGTTTGATATTCATGATTTTTTTTTTTCATGAAATGTAAGTAATAAAATGGTAATATCTTAGCCTTAATGGTGGAAAAGATCTCATAACAAGCCCCAGAAGACTATTGCAGGGGGAGCCTGATAATATTTTTTTATGCTAATTCTCGTTTTGCAGTGGGAGTGAATGATGTCATCCTGTCTCCTCCCACTGTGTAAACTAAGCTTGTGTCAAAGTGTTGCTGCCTCTTGTCACAGAGAGAACGGTTCACTTAAATGCAGCTGCGGTACTTCTGTGTGATACCTGTCAGAGCCATTCCCAGTGCGAGGTTGGGTTTGTGACCATGATGTCAAGATTTGTCTGTCTTCTTTTCTGTGGATATATTGCACTAAACCTGGGAAATACTCAGAAATTGCCAAGAGGCAAGTAGCTATGAACAACTTTCTGGGGGTTTGTTTTTCTGTTGTGGGGCTTTGGGGTTTTTAATGCCTGTGTTTTGTTATGGAAATTTGCTTTCAACGTGTTAAGAATGATTGAAGGTAATAGACAAGATGAAAGAAGGTCAGGGAAAAGGGCAAAGTCCAGGTATAACAGCAACCTTAAAGCTCTTGAATAAAATAAACTCAAAAGTTTTCATGGTATGAAAAATATTTGTGACTCTAGTGAGAAGTATCATGACACAAAGTTATTGTATTTAATGATTTTATAGTGAGTTGGACGGAATTGTTCAGGTCTGTGGTTTAATATCTTAAAGATAATGTGACTTGGAAGCAACCTGTGTCACTGGTGGAAAAATTCAGTTCCGTCTTTGAAAGAACTTGTATACTTTCCCTTTATATCTATCCGTAACAATTCAGTAGGAATTGACTAGTGTAGGTCAGGCTGCATGCATTTTGAGGCAGAGAAATATGATTGATTAAAATTTATACAAGAAGAAAAAACCCTTCAAACCTGTGTGAATATTTGTTTAACTATTCCTTTCTCTCAAAGTCTGGAAGTACAGTAGATTTGCAAAGCTGCCAGTGATCACTTCTCCTTGGTAATATGACACACGTAACATTGGCATTTTAATAGTATTTTATTGCTTACTGCAGGAAGAACAGTCATAGCATAAAATTAAAAGAATATTTCTCTATCTGGATGGTAAAACACTTTGTAGTGCCTTGGCATTAAAGCAGCAATTTCACAACTGTTTCTGTACTGCACATACTGCTCTCTCTTTGTGGAAGTGCTTGCCTGAGTCCAATGTGCTTTGTAATGCATTTTACATCTGCATTCTCCTGCAGCCACTGACATTTAGAGGAACCTGTGACTTAGTTATGAGAATGTTTATCAAGAAATAAGCACTTTGAAGGCTTCCTAGCAGATTCGCTTTCATAGAAGGGAAACCTAAAGGTATTTTGGGGAGTTGAGGTGATTTTCACCCCCCACCCCTCCTTAAAAGACTTTTTCTCTTTTTTTCCAGAGTTTCATTGTTTTTCTTTCTTCCCTATGGTGACATTCTTTTGCAAGTATATTTCTTTTAATCTTGTCTTCTGGAGCCAATGTGGCGTTTGCTGCATACTGGTAATAGTGGAATGGTGTGTAGTCTGTGAGTAACAGATGTGCAATTCAAGTCAAGCTAACTCTAAGACTTCAGTTTCATCAAAAAAAGGACTTAAGAGAGGATTATGTTGACCAGAGAGGAATCTTGTATGTATTGCCTACACTGAGAGAAGGAACTTTCCTAGTGCTTGTCTTTTTTAAATGGACTTTCTGCTCACTGCTGTAGAATAGTGGCTCTAAGTTTATGCTAACTGTGAAATTCAGACAAAGCTTCTAATCCACTGCAAGATTAACTCTGGCATGCATTTTTCTCTGTCCTAAAATAACATTGCAGAAGTGAAGTTCTGTTTGCCAAGTGCATAAAGCTGCAGGTGGAAACTTCATTTCTTTTCAGTGAAATAGCTTTTTTAAGATTCTACCATTGCAGTGTGGAAACAGCAGTCTAATTCTTTTGTTTGTAGCTGCCTCTCCAGTTACTATTTACAAAGAATTGCATTGAAAAAGCAAGTGTATTAGTATTTAGCTACTGTCTGGAAATGTTCAAAGGATTGTCTTCTACAACATTGTCTTGTTTGGGACTGCAGACTTTTTTCATAAGCAAAGAGTATATGTGGATATTAAAGTGTTTTAAAAATTAAAATATGTACTGGTAATATTCTTTTAAGAGGGCTTCTCTGCCTTTCTATGCAAGCTGAAATTCCAGTGAATTCCTGTGCTCTTTAAGTCCCAAAGTATGTAACTGAGCCTTCAGAGTCAGTCTTGCTCTCTGGGGAACCATGGAATCAAGTTCATAACTTGAAGGAGAGCAGTCTAGCCAAACTTGCTTTCTGGTGGTGCAGGTACTTGTGGGAACAGGTTATCAGAGTAAATCTTGCCCTTCTTACCAGCACTTTGCAATTCTAGTGCTCAAATCTTCTCTTCCAGAGGTGAAACACACTGACCCCATGTCTCATGGACTGGGATTTCCTTTCACTGGTACAAGGTGGAAGGAACATTTTGCCTCCTGCAGCTGCAAAGGAACAGAGCCAGTACAGTGACTTCCAGAGCTGTTTGAGAGACTGTGCAAATGTGCTGGTCAGGAGGCTGGAACACAAATTGCTCCCTTTTCCCATACATTTTTGTACTTTCAACTTCAATACATGTGTGTTTTACTAGGATGAAAAAGAAAATATTATTGTTGTTCTCAAAAGAGTGTTCTTTATTAATGAATTATTTCTTTCATTATTTTGACTTCAAAGATTAAGGTATTGTTGGAGGGAGAATAATAATAAGTAAAGACAATATAATTCAGAAAGGAAGGCTGGTGGGTATTGTGTTTCAGTGTGAAAGCAGTGGTTTTTACAATTATGTTTGTGTTTCATCTGGGGGATCAGCTGCTAAGAAAATTCTGCAGTCAATGCCTTTGGATACTGTGTGAGGGATCAGAGAACACACAGAGTGAGAGATGATGGTATCATTGCAGATGACACTTCATCCAGTACTACAGTGGCTATCTGTTCAACTTTGTCTAGCCTCTGAAGTTTTCTTCTAGTTAGGAATCTTCCACTTATTTTTGTCTCTCTCATTATGCCATTATGCCAGTGCCATCCAACATGTATGACTCTAAAGTTCAACACTGTTGTGCTTTATTGATGGACAGAAACATGCTCTAATTTTTATGGTTCTGCATAACAGAGAAGTTCCATTCTTAAAGAACTCAGTTTTGTCTCTCTAGACAGGAATTAAGTACAGACAAAAAGCCTTGTCTTTAAAAATTGAGCTGGTAAGCAGAGCATCCTGCATCTGAGACAGAGATGAGAAAGCAAAGCCACAGAATCCAGAATAAACAAGTCACAGAACATAGTCCACAAGATTGTACTGCCTTATAAACTGTGTTTCATTGTCATCTTTCCAGTTGGAGCTTGTACAACTGTTGAAGGAACAGTTTAAGAATAAGTTCTTGGTAAAACAGCGTTTCATGTTTTAGATTTTGTCATTTGACTTTCCAGTTACAGCACAGACACACATGGAAGTGTGGTTTTTCACTACAATCTCTGTTTCTGATAGCTTTTGCCTATCTTTATGATCTTCTGTTTTACTTTGTTAGAACTAAAAAGAATTTGGGTTGATCACTTCCTATAAAATTTCAGTTTTAGGAAGTTATTTTAAAAAAAGAGTTTGAATGTTTTTCCAGTTTGTTTTCAGGACATTTTTTGACATGTTTCTGACCACTGTGGTTTTCCTACTATTTGAATTAGTCATCAGGTACAGTGGAATTCAGGTCCATTCTTGTTCTAATTTCCAGGATCAGGCCTATCCTACTCTGCTGTCCAGAAAGGGTTCAGGAAACCCGAATTCAGCTTTCTCCTGGTTGCTGTCTTCTCAGGGAAAAAGAATAGGGACCTGACATTTCTTAGGGGACCATGTGAAAAAGCCTGATTCTGTAGGCAAAACCAGATCCAAAACTTCCTTTTATCTACAGTTGTCAGCAGTGGAGAAAAGTGGGAAAAATAATTGTTTTGCACTGAGGATTTGTTTCTTTGTTTGGAAGTACTGAATATATTTGGTCCGATGTTGTAGATAGCTACTAGCTAATATTTGTACTTAAGGTAATTATAACTGACATCCCTTTGAGAGTGAACGTTGTATTTACAGTAGACTCCCAAACTTTGACATTTCAGAAAAGGAATAAACTAATTTTATTCCTAGCTAAGTTTGCTGGCTATGCTATGTTACGTAATATGTCTTACTAAGCAGAGCATGTGTTTTCATTTACTAGTGTCAAACAGTTAAAACAATGTAGAGTTATTTCAACGTATCACAGTTATTATATTGCAAGAGCAAAACCTTAAACTTTCGTGCTGTCCTCTCCCTTCCTGCCAGAAGCACCCTTTTGGCAGCTGTAGGGTGGCAGGGCAAAAATTGTAAGACAGGACAAAGTCTCCTGGAAGCTGTGGGTTTTTGAATGTGCAATGAAGCTAGTATCTCAAAATATCAGAAAAAGACTGAAATGACATGTGGTTTATATGCTACCGTCCCCATGGCTTACAAAACATCTTTCTGGGAACTAGTTTTCAAAATGCACAATGCATTAACCTTTAAAAAAATGTTCTTATGAAGAAGGGCCAATTTGAGCTAAATTATTTAACTTCATTTTTTGTTGTGTGTGGAAAAAGAAGTGCAAAATTAATTTGGGTTTCTTTTGTGAAATATTTTTCTTATTTTTAATGGCATATAAGCAACAAGTCCAACAGGAAATTTAAAAGGGATCCTTTATCTTGTGTAATAGGTGTAAAAGGGTTTTCAGTCACTAGATATGTCAAATTTGGCTCATTCTTGGTGAAAGTGAAAACAGTCTCTAAGAATGTAACAATTGTAGCAGTTCATTTAATCAAAGTTATCTTATCATGCAGACAGTTGTGTCCTAGGTTTGCACATAAACACACCAAAACCCAGTACTGAGTGTCAGGCTTCTGAGTTCAAAGATAATCTGTAATACCAGAATTCCATTTTTATATTGGCACATGCATGGTGCAACATTGCAATGAAACATATGGGTGGATTCTGCCAGACTTAAATTCCACTGCGTATGAACGCCTCCAAAATGATCTCACTGCTGGGTAATCTATATAACCTTCCACCTCTTCATTTTAATTTTTGTGTTCCCAAGTATCTATTTCTGAACCTTATTTTTCAGCCCTCCTTTATATAATCTTTGGATCTAGCTGTTCCAGAAGGGCAAGCTACATGATTCACTTGAGGGGAGAGCTGTAGGCTAAATCCTGCTGCTCTGGGGCCAGACCTACTGTATGTGGATAGCAGAGTCTGTGTATCTGTTGACTGGTGACACAATGGACAATGGGTTTGAGGTTTCTTTGGACCGTTTGGACTCACCAGG